GACCCTTTTAGTCAACTGGTTCTCTATGCACATGATCATAAGCTAGGGATTTCTAATATGGTTTAAAATCGAGTATAAAGGAAAAAATATAAATTCAATAACTAAGAGGTTGTAAGAATATTTTATGTGAAGTCCTACTATTTTAACAAATTAAAATAATATGAAATAAAAATAAAAATACAGTATGCTTAATTTTATCAATTTAAAATAATTATGTGAAAATTTATCAATTTAGCATGTAATAATAAGACATTTAATTAACGTTTGTATGTAATATATATTTTCTTTAACAGATCAAATAAATAGAGCTATTATAGTCATTCACAACTTGTTTTTTTCCGGCCTTACTATCGAGCCAAATATTATAATAAGATTGTAAAGAGTTATTATTGATTGTAAACCAAATATTGTTATGTTACCATAATTCCATTACAGTATTTTACCATTCCTGGTAGCTAATCTTTACATTCTAGTTGTATTTCCTTAAGAGGACCAAACATGCTTTTAGAATAGAATTAGTGGAAATTTAATTGAGAAAGTAGGAAAGGGCAAAGGAGTAGGGATTAAGGTGATGAATTACAAGAAGAAATAAATAGAACAGTTTGCTTGAGAGAACAAGAAGCATAGGCAGAATACAAAGGAGATAAGGGGCGATTAAATTCCTGATCAGTAGTTCTCAATTCAATGTTCTCTACTATTGTTCTTGGTTATAGCCTTTTACTAGGCACTAATTAGAATCCTAATTATAACCAATACAGAAAATTTCAAAATAATAAAAATAGTCAAAACTTTCTAAATGCTAATCAAACTTGAGAATCCAGTAAAACTAGTTACGATTTCCCAAATAGCCTAACCAACTTAGTAGTAGAATGATATAGTAATTGCTGGCAGTGATTTTTTTTTTCCCCATAGACCCGTACATTTCTAGGTAGTTTAGAAAAAGGAATATGCTAGTGATTTAAAAATATGGGGAAAAAAGGTTTCAATAGAAAAAGAATGAAAAAGGAGTTTGTTACTGTCTAGATTGAAAAGTAGCTCTAAGGATAAGGCCTATTGGATTTTGGTGATGTCTTCTTAGATATGTGGAAGAAGCCAAAGCAAGATGAATATGGGAGAAACTGTAGAGCTGGTCCCTCTTGGTTTGATTGTGTTCTTTGGATCAGATCAGTTGCGCGTAAATCTTGTGTGACTTCTGGGTTTACCATGTAAGGTGTGTCCCGAGTGGCTCTGTTTTGACTTCTCCGCCAATTATTTTTCTAAAAGAATAAAACTAAAGCAGAACATTGAATGCAAATTGGTGTTCCTTTGTGCATAAAAGTAGTTTTTCCACTTCCTTTAAGAGGTTGTGTATCTTCTTATCAAGGTGAGATTGGGTGCATGAATTGAATGCGATTCCATGTCATTGGTTGATGTCTTGACTGGTTTTAGCATTACTTCTTCAAGCTTAATTAAAACTATTTCTTTAATGCATCTGAATATATGGATTAGCGATTCTCCTGTGTTGCTCTTGTTTTTCTCTTCTTATTAATAAATATCATCTCAATAGATGCTGCATCTGAATATATGGATTAGCTAATTGATTTTCCTGTGTTGCTCTTGTTTTTCTCTACTTTTTAATAAATATCATCTCAATAGATCCTTCAAGACCAGCTCCAACTCCTGCAGATGCCCAAAGCTGAGGAAAGCATGGCAACTGACCACCCAGTATCATCAGCTAGTGTAGGCAAGAGTGTTGGATCTTCATCTGCTTCTGTTTCTGACAGTGGTCGTCGTGAGGGGATTGAAGGAGGGTACTGACAGTGACATTAATTTTGCACAGATGTAGTTGGATTACAAAATAGGCTGAGAAAAGTGCTTGTGGTAAGGGAGGCAGATACAAAGATGAGAAAACTTTTAGCAACTGCTGCAAACTTAGAGCTGAATTATCATGAGGAAGCCAGCTTTAGCTTCCTAGTTTTATTGCTTTTCCTGACAATTCTCAGATTATATGAGTTGTGCAAGGTTGGCAAAATGTAAATTGTGCATGTGAAAGATTACTGCTATCTTACAAAATATTCCTTTACAAAAATAAAAAATAAAAAATTACTGCTTCAAAAGTAGAAGTTTTTGGCCTGAGTGGCATGAAAGAAGATGAGGGATCTCTCTCTGTCTCTACTCTTCTTTTTGTTTGTAAGAAAGAAGATAAATTCTTCTTAATTTTTATCACTTAAGGCATATGAGATTGAAGGTTTCTTGCATGGTTTTGAGCTATGGTTTAGTGTTGATTTTTGGAGAAAAAATATAATTTTATTTTTTTATCTTTTAGGCAGTTTGTTGTATTTAGAGTATTTATAGAAATTTTAATTTATTAATAATTTTTTTTTATTATATTAAAATTTTAATAATATAAAATTATAATTTTTATATAATTTTAATTATATAATATTAAATAATTAAATAATTAACTAATTAAATAAAAAAATAAAATGAAATATACTCGTTTAACGTTCTTCAAGTTGGTACATATATATGGCAAATTCTTAACTTTCAAAGTAAGTTCTAAAAGTCCTCATGCAACCTACCAAAGGTGTATGCACGTTCGACTTGCCTAGGTTCAAAACAGAGTGATCTGGCTCAAAACGGCTTGACTCGATTCGAAATGGCTCGAACTGAGCTCACTTTGAGCTCAGTTCGAGTTTGGCTCTAAAATAACTTGGGTTTAGCTCTAAAATGGCTCAGACTTAGCTGTAAATCGGATCAAAGTTGGCTTAACTCGTCTTCTTCGGACATATCTCCAAACTTGTGCAAAAAAACGGAATGAGCTTATTAT